GGGGGTGCAGCTGAGTGGACAAACTACGGATGACGTCGATACGGTCTTTGGTGTTAAGCAAGGCTGTCTTAGCCCCTGCTCTGTTTATTGTTTACCTTCATGCAAAGCTGCCTTGTACGCCTGACGCTGCTTGTGATTACGGTGTCCGTGTGGAGTACCGTATTGCTGGTGGGTTACTGAACTACTGCTGTTTCGGAGCGAGAACAAGGGAGTGTGAGACAACCAACTGCATGATGCTGTCTGCCGATGACTGTGCGTTGTTAGCATACAGCGCGGATGAGCTGCAGCACATGACTTCGGCTCTCGCTCCGGCAGATGCCGAGTTCGAACTGAGCATAAACACAAGCAAGAATGTTTAACTTTTCCAGCCTTTATGAGGAATGGAGTACGTGATGCTGCCCAAAACCCGGTAGCTAGTGGCGTATTGGAGACAGCATCAAAATTTTGTCACCTTAGGAGCGTAATATCAACCGACCTGTAGACAATAAGCGAACTGCGCATCCGCGTGTCGAAGGCGGCTGCCGCTTTTCGCAGACTTGAGAAAGGTGGATGGAACAACCCTCAGCTTACGAATGGAACGAAGCGGATGGTATACAAATCTATGGTTGCCGGGAGAGTAGGTTTTCTCGAGCGCAGGCCAACGAAAAGGTGCTTGAAATCTAAACTTCAGCTGACGCAATTTGATACAATTCCTCCAGATTATAAAGTCCTATCTGCTATTACGGCCACCTGTCTATGGTGACAAGCGGGAAACAACCCCAACATTTTCTTTTATGACCCATGTCCCTATGCATGAACCTGTCTACGGCGACCAATTGTTGTCGTTCCCTTGAGTGTTCGCCTTAGACAGGTTTGACTGTACGAACAACTGGCGCGTCAAGTCGTGGAGTGAGAACAGTCATAGTCCACGAATTTCCTAGTGGAACCACAAAGGTGATAGTTCATGTCTCTCTGTCTCTAACACCACCGAAACGCAATTACGGAAAAACTGTGAAAGAATTCTCGGTTATCATCATTGCGGTAAAAAACGTTTCTGAACAGGATCAAGGTGAGTTTGTCACGAACTAATGTTGATCTCAGATGTTGGGAAGCAACAACAGTTGGTCGGCGCGAATGGCGTAAGCGGTTGCCCAGATGCAGGAGAAGGCGCAACTGCGTGCAGACAAGAAACGCCGGGTACGGAGACGCAGACACGATTGGAGTCTAGCCCTTCGACGTTAAGCGCATGGTGCTGTATTATATACGGTCGTCAACGGAGTCGGTCTACATTCCTCCAACAGGTATAGCAGCAGCATTCCTGTCTATCTAATTCGAGAATCATGCGTACCAGACGTACACAAGACCGTGGCTGGGCCGTAGCCCATTCTACACTGGATACATGGAACCACTCTTTGAGTTGTCACGAGGATGGTGCACTCCGTCATCCCAGCATCGTGTCAGCCTCCGCATTAGTGGCGCACTTCGCTACCGTATTTGCAAGTGACCAGGTGTCTGTACCGAGTTCGAGGGGTACCGTTCCCGTGGAACTAGACAGCCTGGATTGCAGCATTGAAGATGTACGCAAGCTGCTAGCAAGTCTTGAAGGGGCGAAGCCTGCCGGACCAGATGGAATTCACTCACTGATCCTCAAGTCCCTATTGGTCATCATCTCGTCTTCTGTAACCGAGCTGTTCAACAGGTCACTATCCACTGGTTTATTACCCAGTGACTGGAAATGCTCAATCGTAAAACCAATACCGAAAGGTGGTGACCCAAGCAAAGTGGATAACTAGCGGTCGATCTGCCCGATCGCTGTTTTAGCAAACACGCTTGAGTAGATCGTGAAGAAGTCTTCTGTAACTTCTCGAGTCAAAAGGTCTCTTGACGCCCGCACAGCATGGTTTCGTGAAAGGTCGTTCGTGCACCACCAACCTACTGTTGACGAGGCACGAATGGTTGCAAGCGCAGAACCAAAGCAAGTCGGTCGACGTCATTTACATTGACTTCAGTAAGACTTTTGACAAGTGAATCATGCAGTGCTCCTCGACAGACTGAGGGTGTGCGGTGTTGGCGGCTCGCAGCAGCGATGGATCGAGAATTTCTTTGTTGATCGAAAGTGGAGGGTCCAGGTCGACAACCATTTGACCGACTGGTATCCATCGATCAGTGACCTGCCACGAAGCACTGTACAGGGGCCGATTTTGTTTCTGATCCATGTAAACGATGTGCCTCAGCTACTACAATCACCTTGTGCGTTGTTCGCAGATGACTTGAGGGTACGGAGAGTAATCCGCGCACCTTTACTGGAATGAACCCGAGGGTCACCCGGTTAGCGAAGGGGCTCGTTGAATTAACTGCGGCGTGTTGCAAAGTGGTCAGCGGTGAGACGGACAGCAGCGTGCCAATCACTTGGCAGTGCGCAAAAGGTTTGAAGGCGATTTGGCCGGTTTCATTAGGCGAGTTGAGTTAGTCACTCGATAAAAAAACGAAGCGGTGAAGCGGTCAAAGAATTTCCGAATTGTTAGTGGTGGGATGCAATGCAAGATGAAAAATACTGTAGGTTAGCGCGATCAGGCCGAGTCTTATCGAAAGTTGAAGGGAAGGTATACAAAGAGTCGGAAATTGGAGATGGGTGGTCTAACTTTCTCTGGCACAAGTAGCCCAAAGAGCATGTGGTCAAAGGGTATTGTCGAAAGCGTCGAGAAGGGAACAAGCGGCTTCGTACGGGAAGCAACAGTTAGGACTTCTGAAGGAGTTCTGCGCAGGGATGTCAGACAATTATGTTTGTTAAAAGCGACGCTGGAGGAGGAACATGCTGAATGAACACCAGTGGAAATCGTCGGGGGAGTGTGAATTACATATTCGTAAATTGAAAATTTCTCATTTTATCCTTATTTTCCTACTCGGCAGCATACGTATATATTTCATATTACCTTCGTTATGCCCTTTCTGCACAACCATGAGGATTATAAAGGACAACCGTGACATTTATTTATCCGCATCACTGTAGTCAAATGAAACACCGTTCTAGTGGCTCATGTTCGCACACTTCACCGTGGACGTGCCGGCCGCTGCTGTCTGTCTCATCGCTACCCCCCGTTTAGCGCTGCTCAGGAATACAGACTGCTGTGATTGCTTCGGCTCACAGTTGAGTAAGATTGAGGCTACGTCTACAAACCTAGTCGTAAGTCATTTAGGCACATTCAAATTGACTGTTAAAGAACCATGCATACGATTTCCGCTATATCGAGTTTTGCTCCCTTTATCTTTGGAATCAAGCCGTGTGAGATTAGGCTTAAAGAGTGCAATATTTCATTTACTGGCACTTACAGTATCTAGCAGGACATACGCGATCGCTGTGGACTCTTACCGTGCTTAAAATGAGAAAGTGTAGCGCCGGAAGAAAAGCAATGAACCTTTAGGAAACTCCGTTACCTAGAAGGCAACACCATAAAACAAGTCCGTCTACTGAGTCGAAAATGACCGAATGCCCTGGAAGACAACGACGGTAGATCTGTGGCAGTTGCGGTTTTCGAAGAGCTGATGAAACATTACGAGTTGACCTTCAGATTTTCAAACAGAGCAAAGACTGGCCCGCTCTTCCCGATAGTGTGCTTTGCGAGTTGGGGATAACCAGCGGAGGATGACATATGCTAGTAGCTTGGAAGCAACCGGTGTCGAGTCGATCCCTGTATGATTGTGACCGACTTATGAAGTATGACAATAGGATAATAAGTGACTTTCCGCAAGAACAGGGTCTCATTCCTTCCTGTCAAATCTTCAGAAACAGGGACGTTAAATGTTGAACAGTGGTTGTGTCACTGCACCTGGACAGTTCCGGGGGGGGGGAGGTGGGGAAGCATATGAGCCAATAGTGCTAAGGCGAATCGAATGTTGAATTCCGAGCGAAACCCGTACTTTGGCGAGGGATTCGAGTGCCGCGGTCAAGGACATACAAGTAGCTGCGCTGTGAGCAAAAGAGGCCGACAGAGAGAATGTGAATTGAGATTGAAAACGCGCAATATAACTGTCCATGTGTTTCTGCACACACAAGATTTGTGACACGTCCGCCTCGGAGATAAACTCGCTGAGACCAAACCTCATGTGGCCAGTGGGCCAAATGAGCTGAAACTGTTTTTGGATATTTCAAGTGAGGATGGTAGCTCCGATTCGGACTATCAAGCTTCTAGGTCGCCACGAAGACTTCACCTACGTTTCTGTCATGCACTGAGGCGAAGTTCTTCCTGCTCTGACTTTGCTAAGAGTTCGTCGTTTGTCGAAGAGCGCCCTGAAGCGTATAGATGTCCAGATTTTCAATGGGTGATGAGTCAAACTGGAGAGCATTCAGCCGGAAGTTAGCGTCGTGCTCTGAGAGAAAATCCAATGGTATTCTATATCAGTGGGCGAAACGCAGACCAATGCGCTAGCTAATTACTGTTGATAGTTGAGCTGAGTCGAGCAGCCAACTAGACCGTACGTAGCAAACTTAGTGTGCTTCCGTTTAGGAGGCCCATCGAATCGTATGCAGATGTTCACACAGACTAGTACGTGAGATGCATTGACCTGAATGAGTTGTGTGCAACCCCGTCACCGGAAAGTGATTGCAATGTGGTTACTTTAGGACCAAGCCTGTACTGGTGCAGGAGAACAAGAAAAATCAGAGCGCCTTAACGAATGTCTGGGGTTGGTACTTGAGACAGACCGCTCTCCTTAAACAAAGTAAGAAGCCTGGTTCCGATCTTTCAGTGCTTCTCGTTCAGCGCGTGTTAACCACCCAAGTGACGTTCACCTAGTATCAAGCAACTGACTCGTACATTGAAATCTTCAGTGAGGACAGCGACATGCAATGCTGCAAGCTTTGTGCAAAGGCTGATGAGATCGGTAATACACATCGTATGAATGAAACCCACGAAAAGTGGACGGTACATACAGATGTAATAAGATGTGAGACAACACATGTCGGCCTAACGTTGATGTCAAATGAGGCGCAGATAGAGATGGGAAAGAGTTCAGACACTAACTCGGTTTGCAATCGCTTGAACATATTCACAAACATGTCAGCGATCAGGTCGACCACTTCGTGATAATGATTCTTAAAAGCCATTTCCAAATCCAAGCCCACAAATTCGGTCAGATGTCTGTGGGTATTGGAATCTTCCGCTCGAAAAACAGCACCAACAGTGAACACCTGAGGGAAGGCAAGGAGATTCAAGGGGAAATAATATATCAGTGTTTGAGGACAAGTGGTCAACGACTGGGGGTAATAAAAACTAGGAGAAGTGAATCTATAGTTGAAAACAAAACAAATCAACGGGCTAATAGTAAAACTGATGGAGTGCACGAGAGTTCCTGCAACAATAAGCGAGATGGCAAAACGGGTAATGGACGTGATTCGCACAAGAGCAATCGGAACACAGCTGCGGATGACCGGAAGGGCAGAGTTAGTATGGCAATGAGTGGTCTCCAGACAAACTAACCCGGGTGCTTGGTACCGTTTGCAGCAATCCAGTATCGCCACATTCTTCAAATGTGTTCATCAACATAGATGCATAAAAGGTGCGCCAACGTGCCACATCAAAAAGCCTCCACTAACACTGCACCAAAATGAGATGACAGATACAGGAATTAAGTTCAACTTGGTGGTTAGTACACTGATAGGGATAGGGCACAGTGACCTAGAGGGTTGTAGACGAAAAGAGAATCAAGCAGTTTGTTGACAAACTGGGGCACGGACCAGCAGCTTCGACGCTGACGATGGGAAAACAAAAGTAAAAGACAGTGGTAAAATAGTGCGTAGGTGCAGGGAGTTACGGTATAGAGGCATGTGAACGAATGAGAAGCGTGGAAGCTAATGTGCCATATCCGACAGGAATTCAGCCACAGATGTGGTCCATCACCCTTAGAGAGAACAATACATATCGAAGAAATGCAAACTTCGGCCACTGTTATACCTAGCTGCCATGCCCCTACGCTCGCAGTGATAGTGTACAAAAAGCGCGTAGAAACAGGGAGTCAAAAGACATGTCAAAGATGAGTGATTCGAATACAACATCCAGCCCTGCAGATCCCTGGGGTGTGTTACAAAAAACTGGTTGTCTGACCAGGATGTCATTGCTTAGTGACTACACTGAAAATGAGAAATACTTCACAGACCCTGGTGGTTAAAGACAAGCGACTGTTAAATGTCTTCAGAGCGCATCACCAGTGATCTCTATCCGCATGCACTATTTAATGCCTATGAGGTATACACACTGTCATTCACAGTTATCGCAGGCGAATAAGGCTACCAAAACCAGACCAATTGCGCGATAACCATCTTGGTGACCAAATTACTGGAGACGACAACTACTGAGGTACCTGAAACACCTTATCACCTTGAGCGATGCACCCAGCAGTTTGGTTGCAGATAACAGATTGTCTCCTTATTTCTATTCTACATTCTAGCAAGAAGCGAGAGAAATCCTATAAATTGGGTCACCAGACATTCGATCAAATGATCTCAAAGAAAGCGAAACAAATAGTGCTATCAATCGTTTTTATTATGCATCGAGAGTGGCGTTGTGGTCGGAAGAGAGGCTAGTTAAGCGAGAGGGGAGGGAAAAAGACTCACAACACAAATTCCACGGAAGTCGGCTTTTCGACACGTCAACAACGGAAGAAAATCAAACGTAACCTTCGCACATCAGACCCGCACTCGTGAGGCCGAAGGCAGCAACCGAGGCCAAGTCCGAAGTGAGGTCCCTCATTCCTCTTGATCAAATCCTCGGCTGGTCTACCGTAATCTTTTTTCATTCACACTCTGGTCACACAAACAACGTGCTGGTGTTCAGGCATGCGTAGTTCATGGTCCAGCCATCGGAGCCTGGTTCATGGTATAATGGTGATGAGCGGTCCACTTACTTTACTTGCGTTCACGCCTCAGCGTACACTAGCATACAGTTCATATTTTCCGCCCAGCAAACACCAAGGCCCCTTACTCGTCAGCTGAACTTCCTTCAAGAAACAGCCCTACCAATTCAAGCAAGAGTGATATATATTTTAAGATGTAGTTCGTCGCAATCCGCTCTGTCAGGCAGGCTCCCACAGGTCCAATAAAGCACCAGACGGCCGGTTCGACCTTCTGGGTCTCGTCAGTGGTGCGCGCTACTCGGACCCCATGACTTCGGGATGTCAGCAGCTTGTGTCACTAAGCCATGGGTGACGGCGATTGAGCAGCATCACTGACAGTTTAATACGACAAGCGCGGCTCATCCGCCACTGCCATGCCAGTTACGAACTGTGTAGTGGACAGTGATTGGCCCCGTGGCGGAGCTGTACGCAATCGGGCACGTCGCCAGGTTGCGGACTGAGGAATGTCTTCTTCGTGGAAGTAACCGCGAAGAAGTCTCGTTTGCTTTGCAGACAAGATGAATAAGCAGTCGCGGACCATCAGCGGCAGCGTCTCAGAGCGTTGGGAGTTTTGGGCTGGTCACCTGGTTCTACATTAAATACCACAAGTGCTCCTACGGCGCTGTGTCAAAGCCAATGTGACCGGCTATAGGGTCACTGGCCACTCACTCCTGTAAGTGGGGGTGAGTATCTAACGGAGGGCGGATGAACAACCTCACTGGCCACCAGCTTCTCTGTGGACTGCTTCCGAACACAAAGAAGGCGAATGAGCGATTTGGCTGTCAATGGTTTACGTGAATAACCCCGCTGGCTTGCGGGTCAGGTATTTAGACCAAAGGCTCGGGGTGGGGTCCCTTAACAACCTTCTTCCTCGGCCTTGGCAACCAGGAAGCTCAATGCCCACACAACACATGGAACTTCGCTTCCATTCCTCTGACTCACTCCTTTTTGTTATTGTTACTCATGTGTTGTGGCCCCCTGCCAAGTGTTCATGGGCAAGTGTTAAATACATAAATATATGAGTCTCCGCACAACGACTGAGATAGTTATCACAGATGAACGAGCTAAGTGGGCCATGTGTCTGTCGGAGTTATCTCAAATGCGCCATACAGAAGAACCTCGGCACGGTTTGTACAAATAGATTAAATTGTATTAAGCCTCTAGTGGTCAGTCTAAAGCAAAATAAGTCAATTCCACTATAGTCATCACTATCATCATACAAATAAATAACTAAGGATAAGAAATGCATCAGCCTAGTGTTGCAGTAAGACGAATCTAGCTTGTTATCACTCTACCAATGTCAAAAAGTTCACATCTGAATATTTCAACACTGTGTAAGTCACAATTAGGATCCATACCAATTTCAACTAAAATTGGACGTTTTGCCAACCAAGCTGGACATTGTGCCAACCAAATTGGACACATTGTATTCTAAACAGAAAATCAGCAGTTTGCTAGCAAGGAATGAGGAGTAAGTCGACTAGACGATGTTCGGTCCACTTTGTAGTCATGCTAATACAACCGAGTTGTGTAGGCAGCGGGTGCCACTACAAACCCTTATCTTGATCGTGAACCTCGATCATCTTGATCGAAGACAGTGACTGAGTATCCCCCCTCTCCCCACCGGCTTTTGCATAGTTCATGCGCCTGTGTAACTATGTGATTAGTGGAAAGTCAAGCTCCAAGAAACGCGTAGCCTATTATAACTAAAACAAATGTTATCTAGCATGGGAGGGTCATCGCGAATCATTCGTTTTGTTAATAGATTGCGAGGTGCAATCTCAATGTGGACCGTGATTCCCAATGAAGTAAACTGCGGACAACCTGATCACTGAGACGGTAAGTGGTGAAGCTGATAGGTGGTGACCAAGTTGTTCCCTGTTAATCTGTGGGCCTTCACGTATTTTGTGTGAGCGAACCTATGCAGCTGCCCCACTAGTAGAATAGTGCAGACTATCATGACTCCACCAAAACCCAGCACAGCTTTATTAGCCTTTTGCTGCACGAAACGACAAAAATGAGCGACGAGCTATGCTGGCCTGCACTATTCTAGTAGTAGTGCAGGGGCACAGCTTCGCCCATACACCCATACAAAATACATGAAGGCCTGTTACATACATCGATGAACAATGTTATATCACAGGTAAAAAAGCGATTGCTTTACAAGTCCCGTAGGGTGGTTAAAGTGAAAGTAAACATAAGTGGAAATCGTCGATTTAAGCGTCTAGCGAATCAGGTGCCCTTTATTAATAACAACATTTAAAATGTGTACTGAATTGTTACTGTAGAGTAATATGGGAAGTAATATGGGGAAGGTATGCCTTAAGAACAAAAGAAACGACAACGCTTACGCGTGCGCCGCTTTCTTGGACTGAGGTAATTGATGAATGCAGTTGTAATTCATCCGAAACTGTATTCCACAACAGCAGTGTGTAAGTAGTGAAGCACAAAAGCTGAGAATGAGCACCGTTTGTTCGCGTTTGGTTGACGTAGACATCTATGGTTATATAGCGTAATGTAAGTGGCTAAACGAATCATCCAGACGTCTTTTGAATACCGTTAGGGTGGGGGAAGAAACAACGTATGTGGGAAGAGCGTTCCAGTGTTCACACACACACACACACAGGGAAAAGAAATTCCGGTGGCATTCCAACCGACTGTATTGTGTGTCAGGTTTAGATGGTGTCCTCTGAGTGTGGTATTGCTATTCAGCTTTAGTAGGTGATGAAAAGGATGCTTTGGATTCCTCAGGATCATATAAGTCATTATCAAGTCGCCACGCAGGCGTCGATACTGTACACTGTAGACCCCGAGGGTTTTCAGCCTCAATCGGTAAGGAAGATGAAACAGGCCCTTTACGTTCTTGGTCGCCCTTCGTTGTGGCAGTTCAAGAGCGGTAAGGTCTTGCTTTCGCCATTGCTGCCAGTCGTGGATGGCGTACTCAGAATGAGGCCGAATGTAGACGTTGAGCATCTGAGAAAAGATGGGAGGATCGAAGCGCCCGAATGCCCTTCGCAAAAGGCCAGGTGTTGATTAGCTTTTTTGGAGGCTTTCTCGGCCTGATAGGAACAGCCCAGATCTTCCTGCACTATCACGCCTAGATCGAATTCCGTTGAAATGCGCTGCAAGATTTGATCCCCCAGTCTGTATTCGTAAGTAGTTTTATGGCGTATGCTCAACACCTTGCACTTTGTAGCGTTGAACTGAAGCAGGTTCTGAGTCAAACATTCGTAGACTCTGTCAAAATCATCCTGAATTGCTGCATTGTCACTGGTTGTTCTAATGGCTCGCCATATCTTG